TCTCAAGTTCAATGCCGGTCAAGGGCGCATGCCTGGGTTGTGGGCTTGATCCCCATTGGGGGACTTGCAGGAGGCAGCTGATCAACGATTCTCTCTCATCGTGGATGTTTCTCTCTCTCTCTCCCTCTCCCTTCCTCTCTGACATGTGTATATGTATATATATGTGTGTATATATGTGTATACACACACACACACACACACACACACATATATATATATAGAGAGAGAGAGAGAGAGAGAGAAAGAGAGTTGATCTACTTAATATAGTGCAAGAGTTCAAGACTTAGAGAAGGCAACTTAACGTTGTTACTATAAGGCAGAAAATGGAATTTCCTAAATAATGATGATAATAAGAAAATAGCAAAGCTTAAGCCAGTGGTTTTAAGAGTTCTTGGGAGGCAATGAAGCATAATGTGTTAAGAGTGTAGGCTCTGTTGTCAGATATCTGAAACCAAGCTCTACTACTTACTAGTTCCGTGAGCTTGAGCATATTCTCTAATGTTTCTGTGCCTCCATTTTTCATATGTAGGATGAAGATAGGAAGAACATATACTTTACAGGGTTGTGAAGATTAAAGTAGTTACTATCTGTAAAGCACATCAAGTAGTGCATGTTGCATGAGATCCAATTAGTATTACCTTTATTATCAAAATTGGCTATCCAAAAAAGGAAGTTTCTCTTTCTTGTTGCTTCTTAGTGATAATTTAAGTTAAATATTTCCAAAGAATGCATTACCGAGTAGCTGTTAGGGACAGAAATAGAATATTGGGGATTAGCTATAGTTATCCTATCTAATAAAAGACAAAAAGGGTAATTAACCATATCTCCGCTATGCTTCCCTTTGGCTAATCAGAGCGATATGAAAATTAACTGCCAACCAAAATGGCGGCTGGCAACCAAGCAGCTGAAGCGAGCAGGAGGCTTGCTTGCTCCAGTGATGGAGGAAGCCAAGGTTCCCCGCCTGCCACAGCCCGGCTCTGAGCTCTGAAAGCAACAGCTCCGAAAGCAACAGAGTTTCAATTATAGAAGCTAAACAAACCCCAGATACCTGCTTTCAGCCGGCCGTGGCCTCAGAGCTGGAGCAAGCAGGGCAGCAACAATGTTTTAATTACAGAAGGTAAATAAATCCCAGAATAAAAAAGAAAAGACAAAAAGGAGTGGCTGGGAGCTTCAGTTGCCCACCAGCCTGAAAACAGCCATCAGCCCCTCATCCAGGCTGACCAGGCACCCCAGTGGGGACCCCCACCCTGAAGGGGGTGCAGGCAGGCTGATGGCTGCCAGTACAGTGGTGGTGGTGGGGGTCTCTCCTGCCTCCTCAGCAGCACTAAGGATGTCCGACTGCAGCTTAGGCCTTCTCCCCGATGGCAAGTGGGCATCCCGCACGGACGCCCAGGCTGCCAGATGGATGTCGGACTGCCAGCTTAGGCCCAATCCCCCAGGGAGTGGGCCTAAACCAGCGGGCCTAAACCAGCAGGTGGCCATCCCCCAAGGGGTCCCAGTCTGCGAGAGGGCACAGGCTGGGCTGAGGGACCCCCCCCCCAACCTGAGTGTACAAATTTTTGTGCACCAGGCCTCTAGTAAGAAATATTAATCATGCTCTGTTAACCATGATAGTTTTGTTCTGACTAAAGAAAGCACATTGTAACCTGGCTGGGAGTTTTACGCCCATGGGACGTGGGAGTCAACCTTGGACCTGGGAATCAACCTTGGAATGAGGCCCATTCCCATCCTATTATCATGGAAAGATTAACAAAACAACCATGTTGCCCAAACAATGGAGTCCTGCCTACATTGCCTATAACCTGTAATCTTTATACCCATTCTTATTCCTTTTGTTGACTTCCCCATGTAATCTTTGTCCTACCCAATATAAGCAGCTGGTTTATCAGGGGTGCAGAGCATATTTTCATATGACCTGCTGCTCTCCCATACTGCCTGCATTATTGGAAAAAACGCTAATATCTGATTCAACCCTGTCTCTGCTTAACTGGCTCAAGTAGTGACAGGCAGTCCAGACCCATTGGTTGTCCAGTTTCATAGCTACTGGACACACTCATTTGATTAGAACCTGTGGCATTCTGAGAATCATCAGGTCTCCTCAAAGACTTGATAAGGACCAGAAAAGGAAATGACCTAATATAACCACTGCATGCTGGGAATGAGCCAAAACCAAATAATCAAGTTCATATATATTATTTTTTTGTTTTTGCTCCAAATTTATTCTATTCTAATTTTTTAAAACAATTGCATTCAATTATGTAAACATATAAAAAGCAAAAAGCATTCATAAGAACTCCACAGTTTCTTATTGCAAATAAGGCCAACTAAATCCATGTACTTGTTTCACCATTCCCTGGCACTGTTTATGACTGCATGCCCATACAGGTAAAACCAGTATTCCACAAAATGCCTAGAGCAGCAGAGACTAATCATAGTATAGTGTCAAGGACATTCAGTTACTTCCCAGGGACCCACTACTTAATGTAAAAATGAAAGTTACTAAATGTTTTTCAGTCTTGTGCATGTCATGTTTCAATGTTTGGTGGGTAATATCGTAACCTTGAAAAATCTTGCCTGGCCACGGTGGCTCAGTGGTTGAGGGTCAACCTATGAACCAGGTCACGGTCCAATTCCTGAACAGGGCACATGCCCAGGTTGCAGGCTCAATACCCTTTTTTAAAAAGGGGGAATTTGTTGGCTTATGAAATTCAAAGAAGGATTGAACAGTCAAGTGTGAAGAATGGCAGGGCTGCAGAGGGGGCCGTTAGGAACAACTGGAAGGAAGGGCTCAAACTTCGTAAGGAGTCTTCAAAACATTTGGTTTCTGTTGCTGTCTATACGACAGTTTCGCTTTCACTACTAATTAGTTTTCTCTAAAGGAAGAACTACATCCACAGTGTTTCTGAGTATATGTTAAAGCTTTAGCCATTGGAGAGAGATCGCCCCAATCTGTCACTTGTCCAAAGCACAAAAATTCTCAGGGAACCTGCTCTCTTGGCCCAGCAGAAGGTAGGTGCCCAATTTGTGGTCACCAGAGGAGTCAATTCCACAGAGTGCTAGCAAGAGTATCCCAGGTGCTCATTTTCTTGGGTACTTTATGAAAGACAAGAACCTTGAATATGGCTCATGATATAGTTAGGTAGAAAGCAAGCAAGCCAGGATTCCAGGTAGGGGGAGGAGGCTTTGAATTAGTGATGTAGGTGGTCTATGAATGAAAGACAAGCCTGATTGGAATGGAGCCTACATCCTTGTTCCCACTGACAATAACACTGGATTGCTAAGGTAAAAACTGGTTTTGATGGAATTAAGAGGTATAACAGAATTTGTTCAAGTTTAAGAAGCCATTATAGATTACCTGTATAGATTCAACTGTGACTCTGAAACCCCAGTTTATAACACAAATCCTCAACCACTTCCTAGAAAGCTCCTTCCTTGTCAACTAAACTTGGTTTAGGGTTGTAGCAGTGGTTATAAAGAAGAATGGTTGAGCCTTGGCTAGTTGTTCGGCGGTTAGAGCGTCGGCCTGTGCACCGAAGGGTTTTGGGTTTGATTCTCAGTCAAGGGCATGTGCCTGGGTTGCAGGTTCAACCTCCAGCCCTGGTTAGGGCTCATGCAGGAGGCGAAAATAAGATGTCTTTCCCTCTCTCTTCCACTCTTTAAAAATCAATGGGAAAATATCCTCGGGTGAGGATTAAAAACAAAGAAGAACAAGATGAAGAATGGGTGAGAGAATTCGGAGAAGGGAAACTCAAAAGACAACACCCACTCATCAAATCTAAGAGCCTAAATGATAGCATTTAATAGTAATCTCAGTGACGATTTGAACATAAGCATCTTGAAAGCAAGTGTCTTAATAACAATGCATCTCCAGGAATCTAGCACAATTGGTGCTTAATTTACCAGATTAATAAACTAAATGATTCTCATAAAATTATTTAATAAAATGGCTTCAAAACCCCTTCTAGCTCTACAATTTTATGTCCATTTCTAAATCCTGATCTTTAGTCTTCAAATAACCACACACAAAAAAGGGTTTTAAAAGGTTAAGATGGCCCTAACTGGTTTGGCTCAGTGGATAGAGTGTTGGCCTGCAGACTGAAGGGTCCCAGGTTCGATTCCAGTTGGGGGCATGCACCTTAGTTGCAGGCACATCCCCAGTGGGGGTGTGCAGGCGGTAGCTGATCGATGTTTCTAACTCTATCCCTCTCCCTCTCTGTAGGAATATCCCTATTCCTCTCTGTAAAAAAAATCAATAAAATATATTTTTTTAAAAAAGGTTAAGGTGGTGAATTTCATTTTATGTATTTTTGACAATAAAAACTGGCCCCTAAAAGGATAGGCTGTTTAAAAATATATATTTGAAAATATCCCAAAGACATTTTATAAATATTTTTACCAAGGAAATCCTATTTTTTGAGAAATATAATAAAACTAATCAAGGGTGCAGGATATAATTATTAGGTGTATATGTAATAATTTAATAAACAAATTTAATTTACATGTCAAAAATATTCTAGTAGTAATAATTGGTAAATATTTTGCAAAATACAAATTTTATAGTTTAACAGACAAGAAATAAGTTGGGTTTCAGATAGGCAAAAGAAAATAAGTTGATTTCAATGAATACTCAACTTAAAATGAATATTGTCATTTTTTATTAAGTAACAGCCCCCCACCCCCACCCCCGTTTTATCAAGATATAATTGACTTAGAACACTGTATTAGTTTTAGGCGTACAACATAATGATTTATATAGGTATGTATTGTAAACCTATTTGGCTGCAGACCCATGAATTCAAATAAATGCTTTAATTATTTCCCCTACTTCCAAAATCCTTTCAAATCTATCCTTTTCCTTTCAATTCCCAGAACCATAGCCCTAGTTCTGGCCCTCATTCTTTCACCTGGTAACTGCAATCATCTAATTATTTATCTGGCCTTTGGTCTCAGAAGGCTGGCCACTTATTTTTGATTTTCTTCCCAGTTATCTTTTTAAAGCACAGTTTTGATATTGTCTCTCCCTTGCTTAAAAGCCTTGCATGACTCCCGACTGCCTACAAAATATAATCCCCCCTCAGCATGCAAGGCCTCTACAATCGGATCCTATCTTTCCTTTCTAACTCCATTCCAACGACCTTCCTACGCTGTACTCTGTGAGCTGCTGTTTACTAAACACATCTCTACACATTTCCATCCCTTCTTCACTCCTCTCTTCCTACAACAGGCTCCTCTATCTATTGGTATCTTGCTCTTCAATTACAACCATCTGAACAGGATCGCCTCTTCACACCTCTCCTGCTGTCCTGGTGAACTTGTTTCTTCTTCCCAGAGCATGTTGCACCGTCTCTATTTTAGACTTCACTCTGTTCTCTAGAGTGGGCCCGACTCTGTCTCCCATTTCTATTGTGCGCATCTTGAGGGCAGGGATAGCCACAGCTTAACAGCTGCAGCGGGAGGAGAACTGGACCTGGGGAAGCAGAAAGCATTTCCAATGACATAACCGCAGGGGAATTTTCCAGCCTGTTTCTTGGACGAGGTCCAAATTCTTTCATTATAGGCATTCACCTTACCCAAAATGACTTCCTGAAATTAGAGTCCCGAGACTTTCTAATAAGAACGATTCTTTCTAGAAGTCACATCTGTAACGTGTGAGGCAGACACCAAGTCGACTTCACCAAACTAAAAACATCGACACACTGCATCCAGCCACCAAGTTCTGTGGCCGGCTGGCAGCTATTAGGCTTTGTTAGAAGGAATGTCTACGCATGAGTCAAAAACACCTGGGATCTGGGTGTAACTTCTGTTACAACATTTGGTCAGGGACACAGTCTTGGCCTGGGACCTCCATCTAGTCTTGTCATCACTGGTCCACGGGCACGTGGCTGGCAGGACATCTACCCACAGAGACAGCAGCTCCGTCATTAGCCAGGGGTCCTCAAACTACGGCCCGCGGGCCACATGCAAATACAAAGATTGTATTTGTTCCCGTTTTGTTTTTTTACTTCAAAATAAGATAAGTGCAGTGTGCAGAGGAATTTGTTCATAGTTTTTTTTTCAACTATAGTCCGGCCCTCCAACGGTCTGAGGGACAGTGAACTGGCCCCGTTTAAAAAGTTTGAGGACCCCAATTTTACTCCAACGACTGGGGGCGCATAGTGGTGACTTCGCCTTCATCCACCCTTTGATCCCGTGCCAGCAGGATATCCGGGTGCTCGGCCACCGGCACCGCCGAAGCGAGCCCCAGGATCGTTGCC